CGGGCGGCCGCGCTCCCGCCGGCCGGGCGCCGAGGGTGCTTTAGGGCCGGCCGCCTCCCTTTAAGAGGCGGCGGGCCGCGGCCGGGGCGGCTCGGTGGCTGCGTGCGGCCCGGGAAGGGGGCGGGGGCGCTGTGCAGGCCCGAGCGCGGCAATGATTGGTCTCGGGGGAGGGGTGGGGGGTTGCGAGCCCGAGGAGCGGTGGCATCCGTTGCATGATGCAAAAAGGATTGATTTCAAAAGTTGCGAGTTGCTTTGGCAGCAGCGCTTGGCGCCGGGGCCACCCCCTTCTCCGCGGCCCGCTGGAAGGGCCGGGAGCGGCTCCCGCCACCTGGCTGGGCAGGGCCGCGCGGCGTTCTGCGGGACACTGCCCCGCTCCCCGGGCGCGGCGGTCCGAGCGGCCCGCAAGACAATGGCCATGAAACAGTTTGCAGAGGAGCGCAGGAACGCGGCCTCTGCGCCAGGCAGAGACTCGAAAACAAACGGCGCGTTCCGTGCACAGCGACTCCCGTCCGCTCTCCCTCCTATTGTTTGGCTCAGCCCTGGAGCTCCCCGGGGAAATGTGTACATGCCCTGCAAAGTTTCTCGAACACTCAGGGTGCTTAGTAGGAAGTCTTGGCAGAAACTTAAGGTGCCCCCGTTACACTGTCCCTCATACGTCCGAGCAAACGTGGCGGCCCGATCCTGTGTGTGTTTGAATTGACGTCGAAATGGGGGGGCTTAGGCTGGCGAAATAACTGCTTTGAAGGTTTTCGGGTTTCCAATACATCGCGGATGAAAATAAAGCAAATGCTCTAAGACGACGCCTTTTAGGGCTTCCCTTAAAACTGTGCAGCGTGGAGGAATGCCGGCCAAACTTTTCCAGGCGGTGGGTCAGCATTTTACAGATGTACGTGGGGGCAGAAATGTTTTGGGTTACCGTTTGCACGCTGCGCAGATGCCCTTTTCGCTCTTAAAACTTGAGCTTGCCATTTCCCCGGGGTTTTAATCTAAGTGTGAATGCATACGTGATGTGATGCCACCTGGAAGACCAGGTGGATGCGGGCTCCCTCTGTCTTTGTGTCCTTTCTCCGTACCCTACAGTAAGTTTGGAAAGAAGATGGTAGCCTGGGTTCTTTAATGTGATGCGTTAGGCTTTTATAAGAATGGCTTGACCCTGTTCTTGACAAACCTGGGTTTGCCTCGGAATCACCAGGAAGGACACACAAAGTTCTCTGGGACACCAGAAATCAGGGAAGGTGGATACAGATCTCTTTATTCCCCTCCTCCTCCCCCTTTTAAAATAGATTTTGCATTTTGGGTCATGGGAATTGGT